GCTTCATCCAGTTCTTTGGGATCTAAAAAACTCAGTACCACTCCAGTTCATCATTCTCGTTACTTTATTGGGCATGTAACAGCTCTTGGGTTTAGTTATGGAGGATGTCACAATACCAACTCATATTACACACTAATCATTTGACTTTATATACATCTTCCCTAGCTGCTAACATCTACACCAGTGCTTCTCAACCAGGAGTATATGTACTACTGGGGTACATAAGGTCTTCTTGGGGAGTATATCAATTCATCTAGATATTTGCCTAGTTTTACAACAGACTACATAAAATAGGGATGTCAATGTGTAGATGATTGCAAGATTAACATTAATCTTGTCAATTACATGCACTATCTTCCCCCCTCCCCCTTGCTGCCTCTGTGTCAGAGGCAGTGGGGGTAGTGGGGAGAGTGGAGCTGGTGACTGTGAGGAGCTGGCTTGAGCAGCTTGAGGAGCATGAATCTGCCTGCACCCTCCAGCCATGCACTGCTGCCACTGATAGAGAGGCAGCATAATGGAGGGTGAGGGGGGCATGTGGGAGCTGATAAGCTTGGGAAGTCCTCTTTCAAGGAGACTCCCCATGTGAGCCGGCTCCGTGGACTTGCCTGCCCCCCCCCCACTTGCTACTGAGACAGTGTGGGGAGGGAAAGGGGAACAGGAACTGGTGCAGGGGCAGCAGTGGAGGGGGGAGGAGGGAGGCTGCCACAAATCAGCCTCTGTCCACGGTGGCCCAAGCTCACTGCCCTGTATGGGTATGTCTACACAGCAAAATTATTTAAAAATATTAGCCATTATTTTGAAATAACTTTACAAGTGTCTAAACAGCCAAACAGCTATTTTGAAATTAATTCAAACAAGTGGAGTGCTTATTTCAAATTTGGTAAACCTTGTTCCACAAGGAATAATGCCAAATTCGAAATAGCTATTTCGAAATAAGTGCTGTGTAGACACTTCTATCAAAACAGGGGGCCTCCAGCCTTCCCAGGGTGCCTTGGTGGCCACTCCAGCCTCAACCAAGAACACTTCTCTCCCTCCTCCCTCTCTGGAGCCCTTAAAGGGATTGACTCTGGCCACAGTGCCTGTGCCAGCTCCAAGCCTGCCAGCCCAGAGCCAGCAGTCACTGCCCCTGATCCAGTGACCCCAAAGCATAAGCCAGCAAGCCAAAGGCAGCCAGCCCTCCACTGCTCCCTGGAGCAGTCTGCCAGCTCCCAGGAGCCTGCCAGGGCCCAGAGAAGGCGGGCGCCTTCCTGGTCCAGGGTGGAGATCATGGACCTTATTCAGGCTTGAGGGGGATGCCCCCAATGTCCATGATCTCTGCACTAGATGGAGGAACCATCTATGGTAGGATAGCTGCCAGCCTGGCCACCAAAGGCCACATGCGAATCCAGGAGCAGGTTTGCATGAAAATCAAGTTGGTCCGGCAAGACCCCCCAACCCTGAGCCCTGAGCTTCCCCTCCCCCTTCTTCCTCTTGTTTCCCCTTCCAGCTCCCTCCTCCCAGGTTTCCCCCACCCCTCTCCCACCCTCTCTTCTCCCCTCTCCCGCCTCCTTTCTCCAGTGTCACCAGAGTTTCATCTTCCCCCCAGTTTTGTTAAATAAAGAGAGTTTGTGTTCATGAAAATATGTGTATTTTATTTGACATCAGGAAGAGGGGTTAGGGAGGGGTAAGTGGAAGGACGTGAGGGAGGAATGAGGCATAAGCCCCCGATGGGGCAGACCAGGGAGGCTCTCAGTGCTCCTCAGGGTAGAAGCTCTCCTGCAGGGCCTCCTGGATACTGACAGCCCCCGATGGACCTCCCAGATGGCAGCCTGAAGAAAGTGCAGCCAGGCTCATAGCAACACATCCAAGAGAAGCACCAGAGTGCCCAGGGGCAGATCTGGCTCCATGTTGCAGAATGCTATGGTGTCCTGAGTGAGGGCAACCAGAGCATGCAGAGACAAAATTCTTTGCTGTCACTCATCAAGATAGGCAAGCAAGGAGGGAAAGCTGAGAACTGGCTGTCCAGGAGGGGTCCCTTTAAGCACAGGCCTCAAATAGCCTCAGGCAACAGCCACACAAAGTAACTCCTGTCCTGATGTCCTGCCAGACCTGGTTCTGGCAGGCCTTAAATGCAACTCAGCGTCCACTCAGTGTGGATGTGCTATTTTGAAATAGCAAAACGGTATTTCAAAATGCATTTTGTGTGTAGACGCGTTATTTCGAAATAACTTATTTCGAATTAACTATTCCAGCAGGCGGGAGCTGGTCTGTGCTGAGACCTGCTTTTCCATGATCTAGCAGAACCAGTCTCTTGTGTCCATTTGGAAGAGATTTTGTCAGCAGACGAATGGGAAAAGCATGATTTTCAGCATCTTTTGATGTATTAATTAGAATCTGAAAACAACTAACTTTGAGAAACGAATATTGCCGTGCCTCATTTGCATACTTAATGAGCCGCCACCTTTACGCAAGGGGTTTTTGTGCAAGAAGAAACAGTCTACACTGCTCCTTTTTGCGCAAACATGCCCTCTTACGCAAGAGCTGTTCCGCTGCTTATTTTCAAGCAGAATGGCTCTTTTCTTGTGCAATAGCCCCCTGCGCAAAATGGAGGCTCATTAAGTATGCAAATGAGGCATAGTGATATTCATCACCGCACCTCATTTGCATATGTTCTTACGCAAGATTGGGCAGTGTAGACATAGCCTAAGTCTGAAATGCAGGCAATGCAATGTTTATTGGGGTTAGTTTCCAAGCAAGCATATTCCGAACCCTTCACACCAGTTGGGCTTACCTCTGACCATCCCCCATTCCTAGCTCTGATGCCACAGATTGTTTGCCCTGTGTCATCCTCCCCAGCTCTGATGCTACAGAGCTTTGCCTGTGTCCCTGCTCCCTGTTCTCAATTCCCTGTTCCTGTTTTCCCCCTGCTTAGCACATTTGATCCTATTTTCCTTTCCCTCACATTCCTCTCCTTCCTCCTGATTCCTGATTGACTTCAGTTTATATAGTATATGCTATACCATAACACCGGGGCAGGCAAAATATACCACACAGGACGAATCTGACTGGCCAAGCCACCAGATCCAGCCTGCAGCTCAGCAGGAGCTTTGGGCAGGCTCCCTGCATTCCACACCCCCTCATGCCGCTAAAAGCGGCCAGCTGTGGGGGCCATATGCTTTTCTAAGCACCACAAGCCACAGGAGGGGGTGGGAGTGGAGAGGCTTTGCGTGCAGCTCCCAAAGGCTGTGTTGCGGCACAGGCAGTGTGCAATGCCTACACTCATCCAGGGCTTGTGGCACTCGGAGAAGTACATGGCCTCTACAGCTGGTGGCTCTGGGAAGTGTGCAGGGGAATGGAAGGCAGGGAGCCTGTCTGAGGGTCCCACTGGGCTGCTGGCCAGGAGCCATCTGGGTAAGCACCTCCTGACCAGTACCTACAACTGGCACCCTAGCTCGTCTGTCCCCCAAGCCTCCTGCACTTGGCACCCCTCCCTCTTTTCCCCTACCCTCTGCCCCAATCCAGTACCTTTGTTCTAGGTCACAACCCAAACTCTCTGCACTCCCATTCCTGTACCCCTTTCTTCTTCCAGGCCCTGCATCCCAATCCTCTGTCCCAGGTCTCAACCCAAACCCCTGCACTCTCTCCTGCACTCCTGCCCCAGGTCTCAACCTTTCCTAGACCCTGCACACCTACACACACCCTTTTCCCAGGTCAGAATCCTCGCCTGCGCAAGTACACCCCCTTGGACCTTGCACCCCAATCCTCTGCCCCAGGTCACAACCCCCACCTTCACCCAAATTCCCTCTTAGACCCCACATGCCCTCCTGCACCCCAGACCCCCTCCATTAATATCATGGAATAATGCAGCTTTTGACCACTTACCAAATTCTTGGAGTAGCCCCCAATTTAAAATCATTGCCCACCGCTGCTATAACCAGTCTTTTTACTGACATTTTACTAACCAGTCCTAACATATTGTAACATAATTCTCTGGCCAATCATATCCCACCACCTTAATTAATTTACACCTAACACAATTAATTATACAGTAGCCAGAAACAATAAAAGAACAAGATGGAGACCTTGTAGATTAACAATAGAAAAGAAGGGGCCTTAAAGAGAAAACAATAAAGAAATGAGAGTTTCACGACCACAGGTACTGATAAGTGAGTTCTTGCCAGACAAAAAGTTATCAAACTGGGTTTTCTTTAAATATTCTGGAATCTTTCTTTTATCTGGAGGTGTTAGATTGGAGAGCTTTCTCAACAACCTAATATTATCTTAATTCAGTGTGACTGGTTTGGGATGTGAGGCATAAGGATCTTGTGTAAAAAGGGTTTTTTGCGCAAAACGTCCACGTCCGCGGCCACACTGCTTGTTTTTGCACAAAAACATCTTGGAATAGATTATGCAAATGAAGTGTGACAAAATGCACGTCTTAAGACGCATATTTTACTGTGGCTGTTTTTCACATTTAAATGTGATCCAAGTGGGTCCAGGATCTCATTTTTGTGGTATCATTGTGACAGAATGTTATGCTGTAGAACTATGTAAAGAGGTACAAGGCATGAAGACTGTACCACTTGAAGGCTACGTCTACGTAGCAATTTTCAGGATACCAGAATATTCCAAAATAGCTGTCCTGTGCCTTCACAGCAAGCCCATTATTTTGAAATATAATGGGCTCGCTATTCCAATGTCCCCGTAAACCTCATTCTACAAGGAGTAAGGAACTTTTTGGAATAGTGGGTTATTTCAAAATTTGGCACTGTATAGACAGCCTAGCTCAAATTGCATATCTTATTTTGAACTATGGTGCAGTGTAGACGCATCCTTAGGGTACAGATAGAAACCTTAGGAACAGTCAGCTGTGGAGGGTACTTAGGGTAAGGTTTATGTTTATTGCTTATGTTAAGAAGACCACCAAAGGCCAGTTGCATGTGTGCTGAGTTGAGAGTGGAGTGAGGGGCCAGATACCTTTATTAATTTATCATTGTTTTTTATTCTTTTATATTTTGCAGGTGATGGAAGTCAAAGGACAAATGATCTATGTGCCCGAGTCAAATTCTATTTTGTTTTTGGGTTCCCCTTGCGTGGACAAGCTGGATGAACTGATGGGCCGAGGCCTACATCTTTCTGATATACCTATTCACGATGCTACTCGTGACGTCATACTGGTTGGGGAGCAGGCAAAGGCCCAAGATGGCTTGAAGAAACGAATGGATAAACTGAAGGCAACATTAGAGCGAACACACCAAGCTCTGGAAGAGGAGAAAAAGAAGACAGTGGATCTTCTTATTTCTATTTTCCCAGGAGATGTGGCACAACAGTTGTGGCAGGGGCAGCAAGTTCAGGCCCGGAAGTTTGATGATGTCACCATGCTTTTCTCAGACATTGTTGGCTTCACAGCTGTCTGTGCCCAGTGCACCCCTATGCAGGTGATCAGCATGCTGAATGAGCTGTACACTCGATTTGACCATCAGTGTGGATTCCTGGATATCTATAAGGTATGGAAATAATTTCTTTTTAAGTTGTAAAAACAATTGTAATAAAACTGGTTGGAAAATGTTATGGTTTTTGTTTGTGGAGAATTTTGAATTTTTGGTGGAAAAATTTGAAATAAAAATGATGTGGTTGAAAATAAATATTTTTGATTCTGAAATGCAGAGGTGAAAGTAAGCAGGTGCACCCTGTTGCACAGCTCCGGCAACAGCTAGCTGAGTTGCCGCAAAAGCCAGCAAGCTGCTATTTAAAGAGCTTCCAGAGACTCAGGTTGAAGTAGGACAGTACCTGTAAGAAATTTTAAGTTACTTTCATTGCTGCTGAAATGCCATTAGAGTACCTTAATGATAGCTGTTGGGCGATCATTCCTTTTTCCTCTGTGGTTCCCTGGGGAAACTCTGTCTCCCATCATGCACCACAGTCTCATCTTTTTCTGACATTCCTCTGCTATGTATATTGGACAGACTTCTCAGACACTTTGCCAAAGAATTAAGAATTACAGAGGGAAACTTCAGAACTTTCATTCATGCTTAAATTTGACACTTTACGAATGGGCCTTAACAAAGATGCTAATTATCTTACCCATTACAAAGATAGCTTCCCCACTTATCATTCCTGATTAGCCATTCATTGACTCATAAATAGCTATTCCCTCTCTCCCTCTCCCTCACCCCACCTTCTGTACTAAATCTGATTTGTCAGTTTAATAATGATTTCACTTTTTTCATTAATTCCTTTGGTATATATGGTCATGCCATTCTCTTCCAGAATATGATCTGAGGAAGTGGGTCTGGTCCACAAAAGCTCATCACCTATTAAACCATCTTGTTAGTCTTTAAAGTGCTACATGGTTTTTCTTTTTGTTTTATACATGTATTTGTAAAAGACTCCTTCTGTAACAATGCAGAGTGTAGGCCCTCTGTAGTCTTTTAGGCTTGGATTGCAAGGGTTTAGGTGTTGGGGTAGTCCCAACAACTACCTTATGTGTGTCTAGAAAAATCACAGGAACGACCCTGTTACCCAGAAAGCCTGAGTTACTTGCTACTAAGCAGTGACTGAAGAAAGGCAGGCACTTTCTCTCAGTAGGCAGTTGACAACAGCAAGCATGCTATGTGGGGAGCCACCTAAGTTAGCCAGTAGGCGATGCAGACTAGAGATATATGTCCTAAAGATTACCCCGCTCTTGGAGATAGGTGCCTAAGTTCAGGCTGCCGGGAGGCTCCTGTCTCTGCCAGTGATTCAGAACCAGAAACTGTTCTCCTGGACTCAGGTGCTTAGCAGGTGAGAATCATTTATGCAGGTTCCTAGCTCTACACAAAACAGACATAGGAGGAGGGAGTGCCCACCTTGTAACTGTTAGCTCAGTTGTTAGAGCACTCTGTTGGCATGCGGGAAATCCACATTCAGTTTTACCCTCTACTAAAGAGGGAAAATGGATTTGAATGAGGGTCTTCCACAGCTCTGAATGCTATAAGCACAGCTGTTCCGTCCATAGATGGCTCAAGGTGGTTGCCCTGGGAGGGGCTCTGTGGCAGCTGCCTCCACAGTCCTGTGAATGGGATGGTCTCCCATACTGATCTTAGGCTGCGGTGTCCAGGGTAGCCCAGGCTGGGGTAAGCAGTAGAGGTTAGCTTATGGGGTGTTCAGTGTCTGCCCCTGCTTACCTTCCTGGAAGGCACACTCCACCTGGGTTGGAATAAGAGACAGTGCCGTCTCGGTCCCCCTAAAGCTGCACCTCATAGTCAAGTGTAGCATTGGATATGTATCCTGTGTTCACTAGGAGTCATTCCATCTCCTCCCCAAGTCCCCCTAAAGCTGCACCTCATAGACAAGGGTAGCATTGGATATGTATCCTGTGTGCACTAGGAGTCATTCCATCTCCTCCCCATGTCCCTGGAGCACGTCTCCTAATTCTGCCTTCTGCGGCAGTCACAGCAGGCAACGTTCTCTAACATCGGGTTTGTCTACGTGGCATGATCTAGCCCTAACTTATTTGAAATGAGAGAAAATTGAAAATATGTAACTTTACTCTTGAGCTTTTTATCTCTCTTGCTGTTGGAATAATAAATACATTAATCAGTGAAATAACAGTCTGCACTGAAAATGGTTTCCATTAGTAAAGAGTATGCCAGGGAGATTATATTGCTATGCAAAGGGCAGGTTCAGTGTCTCTCTGCTCCTACAGCCAGAACAGAGCTGTGGGAGCAATGCTTCCCTGGACTTAAACTAACAAACATAGTAGCCATTAGGATGAGGACACGCCAAAAATATGAGGATGAGGAAGTTGAAATGTGGTAAAAGGGAAGAGCTATTCGTACATATGCATGAAGGTCAAGGCCTGTAGCATATCTGGCTAAAGCTGTTTTGGTAATAAAAACTATGAAGAAAAGAGTATTAGTGGCAGAAGGCTTGTTTCCTCTGTGGATAGGCACAAAGGAGGACACAGATTGAGCAGTGAGTTATACATCTTCTCTTTACAGAGGAGACGGCTGATCCTGCGAGTCTGAGGTCCACACCATTTTAAATGGTGAACAAATCTTACATATATAACCAATGTCTAGCTTGGTTGACATACTGTGGATTGAATCAAGCCTCGTGGTATTTAAAAGCACGAGCTGCTATGGCTTGAGCTAATATAATTAATAAGATAAAGTATGCAGCATAGGACAAATTTCTTTATAGAATCATGAATGGGTACCTACAGTGGAATACTGTTCAGAGAAATTACAGTGGTTGCAAAAATTTCTGATGAGCTTCTGCAAAATAGAAACTAAATCAGCATTTTTCAGACAGTCTGTGGAGTTTCATGTCTTGAGGAGCATTTGGTGATGGTCTGTATGGTGACATCTGTCCCTGTTGATTTTCAGCCACTAAATCACATTGAAAAGGCATCTAAAATGATAGTTGCTATGGAGATGTTACATGATCACAGAGGAAATAGTTCATCTGGTAACACATGGGAAAGGAGACTGTGCCATGGATCATCTATAACGTTTTCGTTAAACAATGGAAAAAGCATGAGAACCCCTTAGCTAAATTACTATAATAGAAAATCTGACAATGTATCCTCAGCAATAGCTGTTACGTAGACTTTGACGTTAGGGGCCAGATTCAGCAGAGCACCTAAGCACATGCCTCTCTTAAAGCATGTACCAAGAAAGGGTTAATGAGCATTGTCTTCCTTTTCCTATGAAAAGTGACCTCGAATCTTTAATTTTCATCAAAACATCCATCATAAATTGATGTGACCTCCATCCATCTAATGTTTTACATTAGTGCATCAATCATATATTAGGTTAGGTCTACTCTGCGTAGTTATTTTGGAATCAGCTATTCCAGAACAGTTATTCCGAAATAGCTTATTTCAAAATAGCATGTCTACGCTGCAGGGAAGCCTCAAAATTAGTTCAAGGCAGGCTTTCCTAATGCAGATGTGATATCTTAATTTAGAGCCCCAGGAAGAATAACTTAGAATGGCCCTGGTGAGGTGCTATTTCGAAATAGCAGAAGTGGAACATCTACACAGGCCTTATTTCAAAATAGCTATTTGGAAATAGGTGATATTCTTCGTAGCATGAGGTTTATAGAAGTTGGAATAAGCCAGCCATTATTTTGAAATTATTTCAAAGTAACAGAATTGCTGTGTAGACGCTCGCATAGTTGTTTCAGAATAACAGCCATTATTCCGAAATAAGTTTGTTGTGTAGACATACCGTTAGTGCACTGCAGTGCGAGCCCAAATCCTAAGGAGATATTTGAATATGTTGTTTTCTGAGCCAAAGTCAAGAGTGATGCCAATGACCCTGGTAAGTGTGCCATATGTAGCACATGTATGTGTAATATATTCCTATGAGTGCTTCTAGTTAACTGCTTTGAGACACTCTGGGTGTGTCTAAACTACAGGGTTTTGTCGACAAAAGTGGACTTTTGTCAACAAAACTATACCTGTGTCCACACTGCCTTTGAGTTATGTCGACATAACGTCGACAAAACTCAGCAGTTTTGTTGACGTATGTAAACCTCATTCTACGTGGAATAACTCCTTTTGTTGACAGAGTTCTGTCGATAGAAGGCATTATTGTATCTACACTGTCCTTTGCGTCCACACTGTTCTGTCGACAAAGCGGCTTGCTTTGTCAACAGAACTGGATGTAGTCTAGACGCTCTTTGTCGACAGAAGCTTTGTCGACAGTATCTGTTGACAAAACTTCTGTCGACAAAACCCTGTAGTCTAGACATACCCTCCTTGTTGAAATCTGCGAGCTTCATGGGAAGAGCACATCACAGTACTTAAATGATGTGGCCTGGCATTACTTTTGAAGGAAGCTTGGCAGACTCCCCTGAGAGAGATAAAAAAGGAACATTTAATTGTTAATCATTCTGTTGCTTTGACAAGTTATTTTATGATTTTCTGCCTTTTGTATAACTGTCTGCCAGTTTCCATAATGCATTATTGTATATTAGATAAAAGTAAGAATTGTCCTGCTCTCTGCAGTAAGGTAGTACATTGTTGAGGTGCCCAAGAACAGTGTTATAGCAGAGCTTTAAAAATAAACTAAAATGAAAATTCTACTGAATATTTGTATAATTTTTTAAACAAAACTTCTCTCTGTGTTTGCTTCCTTCCTCTATTTGCTTTTCACCAAAACAGCAACGTATCAGTAATATTAGCGGAATATTTTAGGAAAGGGAATTTGTAGTCACCATAATTTGTACCTGAAATCTGATTTTAAGTGTTATGCATATCTAGCCAGGGAACAGAACATATCATGCCACTTGAATGCAATCAAAACAGCTCAGTTTTCAAATATCCTTGTGTATAAGCAACAGATCAAGAATAATTTGCAGAAATTAGTTGGTAAGTACTTTTGAATAGCAAATTTGCAGAAATTGACATCTGTTTGTTACAACCAAAAATGAGGCAAAATTCATCAAATAAATCACCTGTTACCAGTTATTCACCCAGCTCTGCTTTTAAAGTGTGTTGAATTCAGAATTACATAGA